TGTGAAGATGGCAGTGGGCTCAGGGCACAGGATGTTTCCAGGCTGAGGAAGCCCACTCCTGACTGAGCCCTGAAACCCGGGGCCCCAGCGCCCCTGTTCAAGTCTCCACAAGACATCCCCGCCCTGAGTGCCAGCCTTCACTCAGGGCAGAGAACCAGGCCAGGAAATTTTCACACGAAGCAAATATGACCAAGTCCCCTCCTCCTATGAACTCTTCCATGGCTCCCCATTGCCCTTAGAATAGTCTTAAATTCCTGTGTGGCCTGAGGCCCTGGCCTCGTCTCCCTGCTCACTCGACCAACCCACGCTGGCTTTCTGCCCCTCCTGAAGCACGTGCCGGCCTCACCTCACAGCCTTTGCGCTGTGGTTCCCTCTGCCGGGAGCGCCCTTTCTTCTGACCTCAGACCGACTCTTACTCATCATCCAGGGCTCAGCTGGCATGGCCCTTCTGCCAAGGCCATCCCTGACCCCCCTCAGAGCAAGCCAGGGCCCCTTAGGAAATGACCAGCTACTGAATTTGCTTAGGATTTGGTTACTGTCTGTATTCACCCAGACACAGCTTCAAGGGCAGAGCTCTCCCAGGCGGTCTGGGACACAGTTGAGAATGGGGGTTGGTATGCTCATGCCCAGCTGTGTGACCTGGGGTATCCTCTCTGGGCTTAGCTTGCTCACCTGTAAATCGGGGAGATAAACATTCCTGCCCTGTGGGTGTTGAGTTGAGACGGTGGTGGCCTGCATGGCTAGTTCTGTGTCACCACGACCAGGACCCCTGCTCACGGCAGTCTGTGCTGCACAAGCGGATCTGGCCTTCCAGACCTGCCAATGCCCAGAACGCTCCTTCGGTCTCTCTCTTCCTTTTATTCCTGGGGCTCTGATGGAGGGCCCGTCACTTTGCATCAAATCCAAACCCGCTTTCCAGCGAGCATATGATCATGCCCACGTCCGCTAACTGACAGGTCAGCTACCAGAGGCTTACAGTGGCCCTGCCACCCGCCACGGCCACACGGCTTAAACATGCCAGTGAAGGAGAGGTGCGGTTCTTAGTTAAAATCTTGGGACGGTGTAAGGATCAATGTAAGAGCCTAATAAAAACTTTTCCTTCCGTAGTGCAGCATGAAAACACGGACCTTTGTGCCATAAAAACACATACAGCGTAGCATGGAAACACATACAGCGTAGCATGGAAACACATACAGCGTAGCATGGAAACACATATAGTATAGCATGGAAACATACAGTGTAACATGGAAACACATATAGCATAACATGGAAGCACATACAGTATAGCATGGAAACACATGCATTGTGCATGGAAGCACATGCAGTATAGCATGGAAACACATGCATTGTGCATGGAAGCACATGCAGTATAGCATGGAAACACATGCATTGTGCATGGAAGCACATGCAGTATAGCATGGAAACACATGCATTGTGCATGGAAGCACATGCAGTATAGCATGGAAACACATGCATTGTGCATGGAAGCACATGCAGTATAGCATGGAAACACATGCATTGTGCATGGAAGCACATGCAGTATAGCATGGAAACACGCATTGTGCATGGAAACGCACATTTCTGACCTGGACACTGAGCCCTGGGCGCAGGCAGGCCCTGGGTCTGTGGACTGACTGCACAGCTCTCAGGCAGCTCAACTAGAGGTACAAGGCCTGGGCTTGGGGGGAGCTCCATAGGGGGTGGTTATACCCATGTTCCCAGGCCTCCCCTCCATGGCCTCGTGGGGCCAGCCCAGGCTCCAGCCAGCACCCAGTCCCAGGAGTCCTTGGTGCCGGGGCAGCGTGTGGGGGACTGCTGCCCGCAGCCTCTCTGCAGTGAGGAAGGAGAGAGGGGGAAGGAGGGAGGCGGGGAGGGGGGGCTAGATAGAAAAAGCAAGGACCAATTTTCTCCCCATCTCCCTCAAAAGGCCCCTCCTTCCTGGGCCCCATGAGGGGGTCCCCACTCCTCCCCCGACTCCGGGAAGGCCATGGGGACAGCGATCGGTGGCTCACCCCACAGTGACAGGACCCCTCACTGCATCCCATAGCCCCAGGCTAGGCCCAAGAGGCCCTGTCCCACCCCAGCCTCCACTCAGCCTCCACCCCACGGGACCCTCGGAGGGTGGCGCTGGGGCAGGAGATGGAGTCGGGCTGTAAGGAGCAGCTCTCGCTCCTGCAGGGGAAGGGGCTGCTGTGCCCTCACTGGTCGAGAAGGGCAGTGTCCACCCCGTGCAGGCACTGAGGGGAGAGGACTGGGACAGTGTGAAATCCTGGCTTAGGGAAAACCCAGATGAAGAAATGGAGAATCATCCGGGCATTCCTCCAGGACCCTGCCCCCCAGACACCAGTTCTGGTGGTCGGAACAGAAAGACCTGGCAGAGCCAGGCCTCACAGGTTCAAATCCCAGCTCCACCCTCCGGGTGAGCCAGCAGTTTGACCCGTCAGCAGCTCAGTTTCCCATCTGGGAAACAGACAATGGCCAGAGCTACCGCACAGGGAAAGGCCCTCAGCTCACACCCTGGAGGCAGGTGCAGCCCTCGACACCCTCGGGTCTGTGTGTGTGTGTGTGAGTGTGCGCGCGCGCACATATGTGTGCATGTGTGCGTGTGCGTGTGTGTGTGTTGCTCGCCTGCACTGCCTGCTTTAGACAAAGCCCTCCTGGGGCCAAGACCAACACGCTGGGGGTGCAGATGACTCACCACACCTGGGCTGCCACAAGTTTCCTGGAACAAGTCACCGCAGGTAGGCCTGGGGGCCCGAGTCTGGCAGAGATGAGAAGGTGCAGGTCCCGGCACGCCCAGCCACACCCCGGTGGGGTCCTGCTGCAGGAGTGCGTGGAGAACCCCCCGTTTCGGGGCCTCACAGGCCTGAGTCCCAACCCCAGCACTGACCTCAGACACGTGTCTCTCGCTCTCCAGGCCTTGGTCTCTGCCTCTAAATGGGGACACTAGTGCCAACCACAGGGGACAATGTGCGGATTACAGAAAAGGCTGCAAGGTGCACAGGGGCACGGGCCCAGCAGGCCATGGCAGCCAAGGCCTCTGACCTTCCTCACCCAAGGTGCTTCTGGAGCCATCGCTGGGCAGAGCACTGTGTGACTAGGGTGCTGCTGGTCACCCAGGAAGAGTTACCATAACTCTGCAAAGAGGAGGATGAAGTAGCAGCTTCTGATTTCATTGTCATTGGAAGGCAAAACGATTGCATTTGTCTGGAGATGGGGAAATCCCAAAGGGCTTCCCGGAAGAGGTGGCGTTAACTTGGGCTTTGAAGGATTAATAGGAGTTTCTAGACCATGAGATCTGTCTAGCTGTTACTGGTCTTGGACAAGTCATTCACCTGGAGGCAGGCACTGTGTGATCGACATCTCTGCTTTCTTGGGTGAGCAGCATATGCTTCAGGCAGGTGTAAGAAAAGATGGGGCAGTGGGATCCGGCAGGGACTAGAGAGTGAATGACTAGTCAGGCATCCTGAGATATGCTGCTTAGGTAACACTGCCGGGCCAAATGAAATGAGGGGCCAAATTTGGTCCATGGGCTACAAGACAATCCCCAAAACTTTCCAAACTTCCGTTTCCTCATCTATCAAAAGGGGGTAATATTAAAACCCAGTGCGCACATTGATCAGAGATAACAGCGTGGAGACGGGGGTGCGGGGGGGGGGGGGAGCAGCAGGAGGCACAGGGGAATGGAGGAACAGAGGGGGACCCACAGGCAGACCTCAAAGAACAGTGAGAGACCCCACCGGGGCAGGGCAGGGCAGCTGGCTGGGTAGACACCTTTCTGAGAAGGGCAAGGCCCAGAGACATGTCAGCCAGGGCTCCATCCAGCCTTGTCACACCAGCCATGGGCCTTGGCAATTCCCTTCACTTCCCTGAGCCGCAGTCTCCCCGTCTATAAAATGGGGGTGATGCTAAAAGTATCTTCTTCCAAAGACTGGTGTGAGAATTAGATGCCATAGAACACAGCAGGTAAAGCACTTAGAACAGCCCAGCCGGTGTGGCTCGGTGGCTGAGCGTCAACCCATGAACCAGGAGGTCAAGGGATTGATTCCCGGTCAGGGCACATGCCTGGGTTGTAGCCTTGGTCCCCAGTGGGGGGCATGCAGGAGGCAGCAGATCAATTATTCTCTCTCATCACTGATGTTTCTCTCTCTCTCCCTCTCCCTTCCTCTCTGAAATTATTTAAACAAATTTTTAAAAAAGCACTTAGAACAGACCTAATATAAGCCATTATTATGAGCAAATCCAGCCCAGGGCAGGGTTTCCCACACTCGCATTACTGACATTTAGAGCTAGACAATCCCTGCTCTAGGGATTTGGAGGGTGTTTAATAGCACCCCTGGTCTCTAGCCATTAGATGCCAATAGAACCCTCATCTCCAGTTGACAACCCAAATGTCTCCGGGCTTGCCCAGTGTCCCCTGGACTGGGAGTCAGCACGTGACAAGCTGAAAAGACAGGGAAGGTCTCAACGGCAGGAAGAGTCTGACATCAGTTTTCCCATCAGTAAAAGGGACACGTGATCCTTACGGGCCATTGGGAGGATCCCAAGAAGCAGAGAATGTCGCAAAGGCCGCACTCAGGCTGGGCACCCTCCTGGCCCCAGCCCCGCGGGTCTGCTGGAGGCCAGCCCGTGCCTGGGAAGGAGGACCCCACCTGAACGCTGGGCGTCTATGAGCATGTCCTCCGGTTGTGAGGACGGGAGAGGCGGGCAGGGTCTGTCTCTGCTCACTATGTAATCCCAATGGACCACCATGCTCAGCAAACAGCAGGCGCTCAATAAATGGTGAATGAGTAAGCAAGCGGTCACACGAAGCTCAAAACTCAGAGCAAGAAGAGGGACCTGCGGGAGGGACCGAGGCACCAGCCACCTGGGCCAGCCCTTCCCGGGCCAGCCAGACACCGTTTCCTGTCTGCAGAAATGAGACGTGCCCTTTGACCTCCCGTTTCCTGAGCCCCTCCCCCTCTGGGGCCTGGGAGGAGGAGGGGTGGGGAGATACTCACGTTCCTGAAGGAGGGGAGCCCTCTGGAGCCCGGCCACCCCCACCTCCGCAGGGCCTGTGAGAAGGCTCCGTGGCGCCGCTCAGCCCGGAGCACATGGTCTTCCAGGAAGGAGACGTGGTGTCCCACCATCTTGACGAAGGCCTGGGGGGGGGCGGGGGGAGAGAGCGGGGATGGCACCTCTGTCCCCGGCTGGGGCCATCCTGGCTGCATCCCTCAGCCAGCGGAGGCCGACCCCCAGTCACTGCCACAGCGGCTCCTGGAGAGGTGGGGCCTGAGCTGGGAGGCTGCCTCCAGGGGCCCCCGACAGTCACAGCAGCCGCCCCCACCCCCACCGGCTTGTCCTCCCCTATTCTCCCCATCGGGACCCTATCTTTAGCCTGTTTTACAGACAAGGGAAACCAAGGCTCAGAGAGGTTTTTTGTCTGAAAGAGCACGTGCTGGGTCAGTGCTGTCCACAGGCCACGACCAGAGCCTGGTCAGCTAGTGGGCTCAGCTGGGCGGTGAGGGCCTGAGGGATGCACCCGTGATGAGTGCGCGCCTGCGTGAGAGAACCAGTGCATCCTCAGCAAAAGGGCACTCCATGACCCACGGTGTGCTGCTCCCCGGGGTTCTGGCAGGGGCAGAGCTGAAAGGCCACGTGAGCCACATCAGGGGTGTGTGTGTGTGTGTGTGCGTGTGTGTGTGTGTGTGCGTGCGTGTGCGTGTGGTGGGGACAAGGGGCCACGGGCAGGAAGCTTCCCCTGACCAGGGCTCTGGCCCTCAAGCTTGGAGGCCTCGCGGGGCCAGCACATCTGGTTGTGAAATAGAAGAAAATCCTGTAGTCCTTCCAGCCGATTCCAATTTCACGCTCCCTGCGCTAATACCAGCCGGGTGGGGAGTGAGGCCATGCTGAGGAATGCGCGCTCACGAGGTCTGACCCGCCTCCCAAATGCCTGCCAGCGAGGGCAGCCCAGCCCAGAAGGGCCAGGGAGAGGCCAAACTGGGGCCACCCCAGCCTGCAGCCAACTGGGGCAGACACACATGCATCCACACAGACGGGGCTGGGGGATAGGAAGAGGGTGGCAGCCAATCCTAGCCACCCTGGTGGCTGGGTTATGGAGTCTGGGTGACTTCTATATATCTCTCTACACAACTAAAAATGTGTTACTTTTATTATCAGGAGGGAGGGGGGAGGAGAAAGAGAAGGCGGGAGGGAAGGAAGGAAGGAGGGAGTGAGGGAAGGGAAGGGAAGGGAAGGGAAGAAAGGGTGGGAGAGAGGGAGGGAGGGAGGGAGGGAGGAAGGAAGGAAGGAAGGAAGGAAGGAAGGAAGGAAGGAAGGAAGGAAGGAAGGAAGGAAGGAAGGAAGGAGAGAGAAAGCCCCAATACTTTAAAATATACTTGAGTTCTAATGCATTTGAACACTCTGGCAAAGGCCCCAGCTTCAGAGCAGGTCCCTGCCCAGAAAGTGCCAACATTCAGCACTGAGGCGCCGTCAGGAGCACAGCCTTTTGCAATACCAGCTCCGCCACCTCCTAGCTGTGTGGCCTTGGGCAAACCACTTCACCTCTCTGTGCCTCAGCTGCTCCCTCTATAAAATGGGACCAACAACAGCAACTTCCCCCTGGGGCTGCTGTGAGGTTAAAGCAAGTTCTTACAAGAAAAGCACTAAGAGTCCCTGGCTCATGGCAGGTGCTCAGTAAATGTTAGTTTTATTAAAACTGAGAAAGGGCCCAGTTCCCAAGCTCCGTCCACCCAGTGGTCACACTGATCTGAGAGCAGGGCGGTCTTGGGCTCCTGGAAGGCCTAGGGCCCGTGGCCGTGGCCGTGGCCGGCTGGCTGAGTGGCCAGCATCCTTCCCCTCTCCCCGCCTGTGGGCAGTGACCACCCGACAGCGTGTCCTCACGAAGCCCCTGAATGCGCCAGGTGCTGGCCCAATGACGACTCTGCAAGGGACAAACTGCACATCCCCAACTTGCAGGGGACAAAAGAGGAAAGAGTTACCCAAAGGGCAGAGCTGAGGCAGGCAGTCAGGCTGTGGAATCCATCTACCCGGGTACAATGTCAGGTTCTCACAGGGGCCTGAGTTGTACTGTTCTGATGTCACACACCACATCATGGGAAATACCTATTCTCCCATTGGCCTCGAAATCCACGACCCTTTCCGACTAGCTTAGTTTTTCGTCCTTTTGATAGAGACCCACGGACAGAGCAATATCTCTCTCCTCTAGGGAAAGCAACAGCCCAGGAAGGTGGGGGTGATACAAGGCAAATGCCATCAGCCTCAATGGTGGGGAGGCTCTAGGGCAGAGTGGGGACTGCGGCAAGCCTGGAGGATCCTATCCCCTGAAGGGGACAGTTGCTCTTCAGCACCAGCTGTTGGGGAATAACAGCGGAGGGGGCCTTGAGGTTGGCGGCTCAATACAGTCCTGAATCCCACTGGCCTCTGAGTTTCCAACCTCTATCTAAAACCTATAGCAAATGCTGGTGGGAGTGCAAAATGCTGTGGTCACTTTGGAAAATAGTTTGGCAGATCCTAAAACGAGTTACTGTATGATCCAGCAATTCTACTCCTAGGTATTTACCCAGGAGAAATGAAAACATATCCACATAAAATTTAGACAGCATCCTATATAATAAAAGAGTAATATGCAAATCGACTGAATGGCGGAACAACCGATCACTATGACGCGCAATGACCACCAGGGGGCAAACGCTCAATGCAGGAGCTGCCCCCTGGTGGTCAGTGCATGCTCACAGGGGGAGCGCCACTCAGCCACAAGCCGGGCTGACCGCTGGGAAGCACAGTGGCAGTGGTGGGAGCCTCTATTGACTCTGTGGTAGCGCTAAGGATGTCTGACTACGGCTTAGGCTCACTCCCCACAAGAAGAGAGCCTAAGCTGTCAGTCTAACATCCCCTGAGGGCTCCCGGACTGCGACAGGGCACAGGCCAGGCTGAGGGACACTGCCCCCCGCCTCCGAGTGTACGAATGTTGTGCACCGGGCCTCTAGTTATTCATAATCGCCCAAAGGTGGAAACAAACCAAGCACCCATCAACTGATGAAAGATAAGCAAACTGTGGTATATCCATATGATGGAATATTATTCAGCCATAAAAGGGCTGAAGTTCTGACACATATTACAACATGAATGAACCTTGAAAACATGCTATGTGAAAGGAGCCGGACACTCTCGGCCACATGTTGGTTGTATGATTCCATTACTATGAAACGTCAGAACAGGCCAATCCATAGATTCAGGAAGCAGATGAGCAGCTGCCAGGGGTGGGGGAATGACTGCTAATGGATATGGAGTTTCCTTTAAGGACGATAAAATGTTCTGGAATTAGATAGTGGTGATAATTGTACAACCTTGTAAATATACTAAGAACCTCTGAATGGAATGCTTTAAAAAATTATTTTGGACTTTGTCAGAGAGAAAACAAAGTATAGTAACTACAACCCCTCTGATAAGTCCTGGCACCCCCAAAACAGGGTCTGAAGCCATGACTGGGCCCTACCTGGCCAGCAGGCCCGCCACCCCAGCCTCACCCTTGATCTTGAACACTACACCTACCCACAACTGCCCCAAAGGCCGTTCTCCTCCCAGCCTCCCCGTTCCCTTCCCGGTTCACTGCTCCACCTCTCAGGCCTCAGCGTGGAGGTCACAGCCCTGGGCAGTTGTCTCCTCTAGGTCTGGCAGGCACCCCACCACCACCACCACCACTTCCTCACCCAGCACCCCACGGCCACTAGCAGGGGACCGGGAGCCTCGCCCCAGCCATGTTCCCAGCACCCACCTCAGCGTAGCCCACAGTCAGTGTTCCACAGATCTTTGTCGAGTAAAGATCAACACGCTTTGGGTCTAAGAACCTCACTGCTGTTGCCCACTTCACAGGGAACTTGCTGGGGTGCACACTGGGAAGAGGCAGCCTCGGGATTGAGCTCGGGCAGCAGGACTCCCACCAGGAGCCATTCGCAACATCTGAGACATGTTTGTCATAATGAAGCTGGGGGGCAGGGGCCGGGGAAGATGCTGCTGGCGTCTTGGAGGTGGAGGCCGAGGCTGCTGCTGAGCCCTGCGATGCCCACAGGATGGCCCGCCCCACAGCATTTCAGGCCCTGAGTACCGATGGCACTGAGGCTGTGCTGTCTAGAGCTGCCACTCCTAACCACTAGGCAATCCCGTCTTTTCAGTGGTTTCCTGTTCCTCAGGATGAAGGCCAGATCCTGACCTTGGATTGCAAGGCCCAGGCAACGGGGCTCCTGCTGCCCAATTTCCCCAGCCCTGCTCTGGCCACGGCCGGGGACCAGGACAGCCTGACCCTTCTGGTGCCCGTCTCCCTCCTGCCTCAGAGCTTCTGTCTCGGCTGTGCCCCTGCCCACCCCTCCCCCACCACTGCTCCCTCCACTCACCCTCCAGGGGCCTATGGGTTCCTCCCCTCGGTCACCTTCCCTCCCAGCACCTGCCTCGCTCTCAGTCACCCCGGCTGATGGTGGCCGGGAGAATAATGGCCCCGAAGATGTCCACGTTCTCATCCCTGGAACCTGGGCATCTGTTTCCTTACTCGGCGAAAGGACCTTTGCAGATGTGACTAAGGACCTTGAAAGGCGGCAATGGCTCTGGCTTATCCAGGAGGCCCCATGTAAGCACAGGGTCCTCAGGAGAGGGGCGAGGAGGGTCCGAGTAGGAGAGAGACGGGAGATGGTAGGCTGTGGGCTCTGAAGATGGAGGAAGGAGTCATGAGCTGAGAAGTGCAGGCGGCTTCCAGAAGTTGGAAAAGGCAAAGGGGTGGTTCTCCCCCCAGAGCCTCCCGAAGGAACCCGCTGACACCTCAACTTCAGCCTGCGGGACAGTTTGGACTTCTGCCCTAGGAGCGATAAGATAGTAAATCCATGCTTTAAGCCACTAATGTGAGGTCATTTGTGATGGTGGCAATAGGGAACTGCTAAGGTCATGCTTGGGCGTCAAGTCCCTCCTGCTAGAATATGGCTGTGGACCGTATCTATCTTTCTCACTATGAGTGGCGCATAGTAGGCCCACAATAGATGTTAGTGAACCGTATGCTAAGGAAAGCATCGGGCTGGAGAGCTGGGCCGACCCAAGCAAGGCAAGAACCAGGGCTGCAAATCTTCATGTTTCCTTTTTCCTTTTCCCAACGTGTGGAATAAAATTCAAATGAATCAGCTATTTCAAGGGCAACGTTTTAATTATATTCCTGCCTCATTCTCCGCTGACAAGAATGTTAATTCTCTGCTCACTCAGTGCTGCCTGCCAGGCTCCCTTCCTCTGCAGCTCCGAGGGGGCCCGTCCCTCTGTCCAGGTGACCACTATGACACGGCAAGCTCCTCCCAGCCTCCGGCCTCCCAGTCCTTCTCTGTGCAAGGAGCCAAGGTCCCGAGCTGAGGACTGCAGTTCAATTAAGAGCTTAGGCCCCAGTGGACAGAAGTTGAGTCCCAGCTTCATGGAATTAGCTGTGTGACCCTGGGTAAGTGGTATACGTCTCGGAGCTTAGGCTCCTCCTCTGGGAGATGGGACAGGAGGGTACCAACTCTGCAGCGCAGCAAGGAGGACAATGAGATGCTGTGCAACTCAGCCCACACAGTAACAGATGGGGGAGAGAAGGCAGCAGTGAGGCAATAGGGCATGGTGGGGACTGTGGTGAAATAGCAAACACATGCCTCAGCTGAAGGGCAGCTGCCACCGGCTCTACAATTCAGCCCAGGGCTTGGAAATGTCCCATTTCTCAAATTGGGGTCACATGTGAGTTTCAGTAAAAATTAACTGAATTGGATACTTAGATGGGTGCATTTTATATATTTACTAGAGGCCTGGTGCACGAAATTCGTTCACAGGGGGTGGGGGTGGGGGGTCCCTCAGCCCGGCCTGCACCCTCTCCAATCCGGGATGCCTCGGGGGATGTCTGCCTCTCGCAATCCAGGATCGCTGGCTTCTAACCTCTTGCCTGCCTGCCTGATTGCCCCTAACCCCTCTGCCTGCCTGCCTGATTGCCCCTAACTACCTCTGCCTGCCTGATCGCCCCTAACTGCCTCTGCCTCGGCCCTGCACCCAGGACCCGGGCTTCCCTCCCTCTGGCTGGTCGCAGGCACCCAGGACCAGGGGTGGGCGGCTTCTCCTGGGCCCAGCTTTGTCAGGAAGGACGTCTGGAAGATGTCCAGTCCAATTAGCATATTACCCTTTTATTAGTATAGATACCTTAAACAATAAATAGATGAAAGTATTTAAAGAAATGTGGGCCCAGGGTTATCAAAGCTGCTGAATTTCCAAAAGCAGCGTAACATTCAGATTTTATATAAAGTACCCAATTTTTTAAATAGGATACTTTATATAAATTCATATTTGTCATATTTTTTAAACGTCACATGAGTGTAGGCCCCAACCTCCTGCACTAGGTCTGGTGCCTGACAGTCTCAGGGTCAGATCAGTATCTTGGAAGACAAGACAAAAGAGCCAGAACACGTCCACGGATCTCACAAAGAAAGCTCGTTTTCCTGGACGCACCTCCAGCCGGTCCACTCTGGCGTAGATGCCACGCATTTCCACCACCTTGGCCTTAAGGAGAGGGATGTTTTCCTCCAAGATCTGCGAAGTGTCGCTCCTGATCTGCAAGGAACAAAACAGCTCCTGAGGCCCTCTGTCCCAACACCACGGCCTCCCGCCTGCCTCTGGGATTGGCCAGGGACAGCGGAGGCCTCGCTGATGGCCGAGACTCTGAGTGGCATCCTGCCCCAGGGCAGGCCCAGGATCCACCAGAGCCCAGCTGGGGACCCACACCACTGCTTCTGGGACCCAGACCTGCCCAGGTGTTATTTACTAAACTGAAAATTAATTGTCGCCCCCCCCACCCCAAATAACCACCACCACCAATCCCAAACGAAATATCTTCGTTTCCTTTTTAATTTAATCAATTTATTGAATGACTAGAGGCCCGGTGCATGAAATTTGTGCAAGGGGGGTGTGTCCCTCAAACTGGCCTGAACCCTCTCCAATCTGGGACCCCTCGGGGGATGTCCAACCGCTGGTTTAGGCCCAATCCTGCAGAGGGACATCCCTCTCACAATCTGGGACTGCTGGCTCCTAACTGCTCGCCTGCCTGCCTGATCGCCCCTAACCATTCCCATGCCTGCCTGATCACTCCCAACTGCCCTCCCCTGACAGCCTGATCGCCCCCAACTGCCCTCCCCTGCGGCCTGATCACCCCCTAACTGCCCTCCCCTGCGGCCTGATCGCCCCCTAACTGCTCTCCCCTGCCAGCCAGATTACCTCCTAACTGCTTGCTCCCGTGCAGGCCTGATCTCGCCCCTAACTGCTTGTTCCCCCGCACTGGTCTGACCTCGCCCCAACTGCTTGCTCCCCCTCACTGGCCTGATCTCACCCTTAACTACCTGCTCCCCTGCCGGCCTGACTGCCCCTAACCGCCTCTGCCTCAGCCCCCATGGCTTTGTCCGAAGGAAGTCAGGCGTCTGGAAGGTGTCCGGTCGACCTGGTCTAATTAGCATATTGCCCTTTTATTAGTATAGATAGATTTGAGAGAGAGAGACATTGGTTTGTTGTTCCACTTATTTATGCACTCGTGGTTGCTTCTTGTATGTGCCCTGATTGCAGATTGAACCCACAACATTGAGCTCTAACCATCTGAGTACCTGGCCAGGTCCTCATTTTCTAAAGCACTAAAGGAGCAAAGGGAAAGAATCCAAATGTCTTCACTGAATCTGAGGTGAGGCAAGCTTTCACTGCCCTGGAATTAATACTACTAATGAGTTAATCATTAACAGTAACAACGTTAATGCAAAACACAACTTATCAGGGTGCCCCCTACATGCAGACACTGTGCTGGGCATTTCCCACGCGGCTCATTAATGTCCAATTTCTTCGGTTTGGAAGGACCCCCAAAGTGACTACATTTTATGCAGCCACCACCGTCCCTGCATCACTGAAATTGGACACTTCAGCCTCCGTTTTCCTTCAGAGCCCAACGAACGAAGCCCAGCCCTTCGTGTGAGAGAAATGCCATGTCCATGGTATCACGTCCTCGCCGTGCAGAGGGGCAGGTCCACCCCGCTCTCAGGTTCCAGGGGGCATCCGAGTCCCCCGCGGGAAGCCAGCCAAATGCGGGTCCCCAGGCCCCTGAGTCTGGACTGGTTTGTCTGGGGCTGGCTGGCCATCTGTTCTCAGCCCGGCTCCCAGGCTCAGCGGGAGTGGGGTCCAGGGACAGTCCGAGAAACAGCAGGAGCTGGGCTTGGGACCCAGAGCGGAGTCTGAACTAGCTCTACCCACCAAGAGCTGTGGGACCCCGGGCGGCCACGGCCTCTCAGCCCTCCTGTGCTTAACCGGCAGCGACACTGGCCCGGCTTCCTCGGGATGCTGTGAGGACAGAGTGTGTGGCAAGGCGGGTGCAGGCCGCTGTCTACAAGTCTTCCGTGACCGCCTCCTGCTACTCAGGCCCTGGGTGAGCCCTCCCCTTGTCCTGGGCCGGGCCGAGAGACGCACGGCTCCTGAGAGGACCGGCCAAAGCGAGAGATGCCACTCGGAGCCTCCTTCACAGAAGACTGTCCCTCCTCCTTGCCGGCGGTCTCTCTGCTGCCGGCTTGTCCCGCGTGCCCCCCCCCCCCCCTTTCTCACTTGCCCTCTCGGTTGCTCGCTCTTAGGAAGCAAGCTGCCGTGCTGCAGAGGCCCACGTGGCCAGGGACTGAGGGCCTCCGCCAACCGCCAGTGAGGAGCCGGCCCTGCCCAGAACCACGGGCTCTGCCTGGACGCAGTCCTGCCCCACTTGAGCCCGGAGGCGACCGTGGCCCCGGCCCAGGCCGTGACTGCAGCCTGAGACGGAGCCGCAGGGCCCGGCCGGGCTGCACCCAGACCCCCGACCCGCACACGCGGCCAAGTGAGAAAGAATTGCTGCGGACACTAAGTTTGGGATCACTGTTAGGCAGCAATAGAGAGGAACACACAGTGACAACTCCGGACAAAATTTTAATTTTAAGCCTGTTTTTAAAAACTGTACCTGTGTCTCCTCTTTCTGCCTAAGTACCTGAGGCCTCTGTGGTTCTCCTGAAGGTCTGTCCCCGCCACCTCAGGATGCCCTGGTCCCCGGAAGCCATCCCATGGCCCAGCATGCCCAAACCCCACTCCTGTCCCGGGCCCCCTCCTCTGGGCACAGCCTGCCACCCCCCCACCCCCAGGCAGCAGGCGCCAAGCCCACCGTCCAGGGCTAAGTCCCTCCCCAGCTCTGACCCCATGAGGCTGAAGAGTGTCCTGAGAGGGAGGGTCTGGCGCAGGCTGCCGGCCTCAGTTTCCTCACCTGTAAAACGGGGAGGTTACGGGCGCTTCTCTTGAAAGAATGTTCTGGGCATTAAACGAGATCTCCCGTGTCTAAATGTGGCACCTGACTCGGCTCACAAAGTGTTTCAGTTGTTAAATTTGACTTAATTTCCAACTTTAAATTCAAATGGGCTCCAGGAGAAACAGCCGATCCCAGGGCTGGGGCGGGAAAGCTAAGAGCCTGGAGTGCTCGGGGGCCGGGAAGGAGGGGAGTGTTTAGAACTGAGATGGCAGCGTGTCCAAGGGGCCCGGAGCCAACCCGACAGAGCTCCGTCGCTGAGGCCGGAGCCACCTGCCGACACAGCGAACAGCGTGACACGGGACTAGAACCCGACGAGTCAGATGAACGCACAGGAGTCTGACGGGAGCGGACGATGAGCGGGAACGCGGGCATGTCACGGCGGAGAAACCTGACCGGCTAACCCCCGTGACGTCCTGTGGGAGCCACGTGCCTGCGACGATGTGACGGGAAGCGCCTCACCTCTGCGGCGTTCTCTCCAGAAACCCAGAACCCCCGTCTGACCACAGGAGAAGCATCAAACCCAAACGGAGGGGCCATCTACAACAACATGTCAAAATCGTGGCCCACGACGAATATTTTTGCGGCCCAGCCAATATAACGGTTTGTAAGAAAGGTTTTAATAAAAATTTTATAACTTAATTTTTACAATATCCTGTTATACATAATGATTAATAACAAACTACAATGTTCACTAATGACTGATGACTAGAATCGTGTTGCATTCATTTCCCGTACGCGCCTTACACGCAGGCGCACCATTTCTCTCCACTAATACCAGCAGCGAACACTTTAGCAGCCGATCGCCACGTCATTAGTCTTGGACTGACTTGTTTGGTGTGTGCACAGGAAATTTTTTGCTTTCGGAGAACAAGAAAAATAATTTTATTTGCATTACGCTTATTAATTTGTGCAGTTATTCAGTGTCTGGTAAGTTAGAGTTCAAGAAGAAATATTAATTTTTATTCAAATGTTCTATTAAATTATGTTAACGATTACTCATTTATTTCAGCCCTTTGTATTCAGCACGTCTCTACGGAAATAAACCTACGTCTCTATGAAAATGGAAGCTTTTGTTTTTTTGCAGCCCACATAAACTTAAACCTTGTTTATTTGGCCCGTCTTAGCCTTTGAGTTTGACCGGCTTGGTCTACAAAATGCCCGGTAAGTACTCCTCGAACTGCAAAGTCACGGAAAGCAAGGACAGAAACTCGGAGACCGCGGAGGCTAAGGAGACGGGCAGTGTGGTCTCCTCGCCGGGCCTGGCGCGGAGCGAGGCCCGAGTGGGAACGGGAAACAGAAGTCACGCGTGAGTGGCGTGAGCAGCCCCGGCCGGGTTGGTGTTTACCGTTTCAGCAGAAGATGTCGGGCGATGTCGGTGTTAACAGAGCAGGCGCTGGGTGAGGGGATATGGGAGCTCTCGGCACTACCTCTGCAGCTTTTCCGTAAATCCAACACTATTCCACAGCAAAGCACACACATGCGACTTTAACAAACACTGCAGCGGTGAAGTCTGGATGTACAGCTTCTCTGAAGAGTCAGCAGCTTCGGCAACATGGGCCTGCGTCTCCCCAGGCACCGAAGCTGCTCCCTCCAGATGGGGCAGCTCAGCCACCACCCCTCCCTCACGCCTCCCCATGTCCATGTGCCCCCGGCTCCCGCAGCACCTGCATCTGCCACGCGATGGGCAAAGTCCTCGCTGTCCCCCTTCTCCCCAAGGCCACGTTTCTAGAGGGAAGCCCATCTCTCAGCACGGCCACCCTCAGGAGCGATCGCCACGACGCAATCCAGAGCAGGTAACGCGTGGCGAGGACAGAACACGGTGGATCAAATGCAATCTTTTCTTTCTATTAATTGGTAAGGAAACATATGGGGGGGGGGGGGGGGAATCGGGAGGACTTGGTCTTAGCAACCCAGAGGAGAGAAGCGAACACCGCAGAGAGGAGATTCACAGAGCACCCCCTGCCTCCTCTGAATCTGAAGGAACCAGACGAAAGAGGTCTGTGGGCTGAGCCAGGGCCCCTCTCTGAGGCTGCTACTCCGCCAGCCAAACTGTGGGGGTTAGGGAGCTCTCTGCACCTGCCCAGGGGCAGGCTGCACCCCGGGAAAGCAGAGGGTAATTTTCGGGAAACAGGCCCTGTAAAGAGGAACTATTTTATCTTCAACCTCATTTTACCGGTGATGAAACGGAGAAAAGGTCAGGAAAACGGAATGAGCTGGCCCAGGAGCACAGAGCTACAACGCGGGAGATGGGGGACTCCAATCC